CAAGGACGGTACTGATCCTCCGCACAGATTGGCAAACAACGTGTCCATTGACCAAAGTGCAGTGAAAAGATTGAGACCGAGAGGATCCGCATTGCAAGGGCTCTGATTGCCTGGTGATCTTTGCTGTCACTGTCAAGTGGTGTACAAAGTATTGTACGGTATTGGTACTGAAACTTTTTATGGGGGGGGGAGGGATTAAGAGGTGGGGAATAGAGGGAATCCGTATAGGAACCTTTGACCGCCTTCGCCGAATTTGAACCGAAAGGCTTCCGGCAGCCCAATTTGAAAGGCGTTCTTGGGCCCAATATGAAACCACGAGTTGACCGGAATAATCCTTTTTGGGTTCAACTTGAATCCATGATTTCAGCGGAAGGGCCTAGTCACGGCGTGTTGGCCGCAATTGAAACCATGACTTCACCGGAAAGGCCAGAGAAAGCATCCTTGGTGCTATTCGGCACATGGAGGACAAGAAGCACTGTAAATACCGATGAAATCACTTAGCCGGGTTTGCATTTTTACATGGTGATCGAGCCACTCACATCAACAGTGGTGCATTCGCACTGAGTGGGTCTTTCGCAATCGTATCTCGAAGTTCAGTGTACCCTGATATTCCGAAAAGTTGGATCTTTGAGCTGTCTTCATGCCCGAAAACACGGTAGGCGCCGCCCAACAACGACCATCACCACAACCACAACCACCGAAACCACCACCGCAACCACAACCATTGTAGCAGCAACAACAACAACAGCAGCGGCAACAGCAGCGGCAACAGCCACAACAGCAGCAACAACAACCACAATTACAATCACATCCATAGCCACAACTGGAACCACAACGACGACAACAGTGGCAACACTGTAGCACCAATTCAATAGCAACAACAGCAACAGCAACAGCAGCAACAGTATGGGCAACAGCAACAGCAAGCTGCTTTTGCAGGCCTCCAGTTGCGAGCAGGTGCAGGCGCCGGCGCCATGTAGTAATAGTTTGTCTTGTGCAAGACGTCTGATGTGGTGAAGGCCTCCGTTCGCGTTGGGGACGGCTTCAGGCGCCGGTGAAGAACGTGAGCGGTGAAAGAAACTCAAAGTCGTTCCCTGTGTTCAGGTGGTCCCCTTGGAAGGCTTGCAAAGAAGTTCCCGTCCTTCTTGAAAAGCCCCGTGCCCCGGAGGCCTGTGCTTTGCTTGCGCCGCATAGCAAAGACGTGCGGTATCCGAACAGATTACTACACAGCCAGACAGCCACATTGGACATGTTCCGCGAGCATCCTGATTGCGAGAATTCAAGGTTCAAGTATAGCTGACACCTCATGAGCACGCGTGTCCCTTGTTTGGGATTCCACTCCCAGGGAGCTGAAGCTCTGGCGTCCTGGAAGAAAGCCAGGATCCGAGTCTCGGGGGAGGGCCATTGGCGACTCGAACGGACATTGGCTTTTCAGGTCTGCCGTATCGAGTGGCCACTTGCAATCGCCCACGCCACTTCGCCGCACATAACCGGCACAGCGCCGAGCCACTGCTGTGCTCTGCATGCGAGGCCGGCATCCAAGAGGTGGAGTACCAGTTGCTGGTGATCCCGGACAGCGCCCACTTGATGCCCTTCGTAGGCTTGCGCTCTGAGCCCTGGGAGCGGGTTGAGTGCACTTGGGGAAACACGTACCGTAAATTGGTAAACTCTTCAATATGCTTGACGCTTGAAGGTGCCCTGGTCGTGGCTCCTGCAGCATCGGAGGTCGAGGGCTCTCGGACTCCAGGACCATGAGCCATGTGTGTGGCTCCCGGCTCGCCTTGCAAGGCAGCGCCCATGTCGCCGAGGGGTGGCCCGGGTGGGCGGAAGAAGGGCCGCAAAGAGGGAGCCGTGGCGGGGGCGGGGGTCCCTGCGGCGGGCAGCAGAAACGGGTACCCCCAACAAGGCACCGCCGCAGCCCAAGCCCGAAGCTCTGGTGTCGGTTGTCCATCCGTGTTCGTTATAAGGGCAGTGGCGCCGGCGCCCCCTCGGCTTACCTGGTGGCCGGGCAGGCGCGGAGCCATAGCCAGGGGGAGAGCGGCGGCTGCACGTGCGCAGTGGCTGCAGAGGCGACGCTGAAACCTCGTCGCGAAGGACCATGCGACAGCGACGCCTGAGAAGCTTTGATGCCACCTACCAGTATATGCAGGAGAGGGCGAGGACGGCGGGGCGGCTGTTGTGCTGGAGCAGAGTCCCCATACAGACAGCGGCGGGCAGCGCACAGTGACGTGGCATGGCGCATAGCGGCCCGTCCTTGCTCCGAGGTTGGCGGAGCTCTGCCCCGAGCTCCGCTACGCCTTCCAGGCCGCGTCGCGGCCGCTGCGGCGGAGACGCGCTCTGCGACGCTGAGACGCCTGCCTTTTTTGCGCCGGCGCAGGTCTTTGCTCGCTATCCCACTGTGGGGCCCCGCGTCTTCCAGAAGATCTACCAGGAGCACCGGCTGGCTGCCTGCAAGGCCGCCTTATGCCTTAACTCGTCTCGCGTTTTGAGGTTGAGAAGATTTCGAGAAGTAGCTCCTCAGAGGCTCCGCTGCGAGTTCATGGACAAGCGGCACAAAGGGTGCTAGCACGTGGGCAAGTGTGACTTATACAAGACGGCCTCGCACGATCTCTCCCGGCTTGGACGCACACTCCCACGCCACGGAACCCGTGTTTTTTTTTTTGCTGTTGTTGCCTTTATGTTTTTTTTGTTCTCGTTGCGCGGACCCAGGAAGCCGGTGAGTGAGTGAACCCCGGTGCCCGCACCGACAGCAAAAAAAAAAAACGCGCCCCCGCACCGACAGCAAAAAAAAAAATGCGCCCCCGCACCGACAGCAAAAACAAAAACGCGCCCCCGCAACGACAGCAAAAAAAACGCGCCCCCGCAACGACAGCAAAAAAAAAAACGCGCCCCGGCAACGACAGCAACAAAAAAAACGCGCCCCCGGGGACGACCGCCCCCGCAAACAACAGTATGGGGAACGACACAATATCTGGGCGTTTAAGTTGCTCATTTAAGGTTTCGATCAAGTGGTAGTAGTAGTAGTAGTAGTAGTAGTAGTAGAAGTAGTAGAAGTAGTAGTAGTAGTAGTAGTAGTAGTAGTAGTAGTAGTAGTAGTAGTAGTAGTACTAGTATTAGTACTAGTACTAGTACTAGTACTAGTACTAGTACTACTACTACTACTACTACTACTACTACTACTACTACTACTACTACTACTACTACTACTACTACTACTACTACCACTTGATAGAAACCTTAAATGAGCAACTTAAACACCCAGATATTGTGTCGTTTCCGATACTGTTGTTTGCGGGGGCGGTCGTCCCCGGGGGCGCGATTTCTTTTTTGCTGTCGTTGCGGGGGCGCGTTTTTTTTTTGCTGTCGGTGCGGGGGCGCGTTCTTTTTTGCTGTCGGTGCGGGGGGCGCGTTTTTTTTTTGCGTCGTTGAGGGGGCGAGTTGCTTTTTTTGCTGTGGTGCGGGGGCGCGTTTTTTTTTTTTGCTGTCGGTGCGGGCACCGGGGTTCACACCGGGGTTCACTCACTCACCGGCTTCCTGGGTCCGCGCAACGAGAACAAAAAAAACATAAAGGCAACAACAGCAAAAAAAAAAACACGGGTTCCGTGGCGTGGGAGTGTGCGTCCAAGCCGGGAGAGATCGTGCGAGGCCGTCTTGTATAAGTCACACTTGCCCACGTGCTAGCACCCTTTGTGCCGCTTGTCCATGAACTCGCAGCGGAGCCTCTGAGGAGCTACTTCTCGAAATCTTCTCAACCTCAAAACGCGAGACGAGTTAAGGCATAAGGCGGCCTTGCAGGCAGCCAGCCGGTGCTCCTGGTAGATCTTCTGGAAGACGCGGGGCCCCACAGTGGGATAGCGAGCAAAGACCTGCGCCGGCGCAAAAAAGGCAGGCGTCTCAGCGTCGCAGAGCGCGTCTCCGCCGCAGCGGCCGCGACGCGGCCTGGAAGGCGTAGCGGAGCTCGGGGCAGAGCTCCGCCAACCTCGGAGCAAGGACGGGCCGCTATGCGCCATGCCACGTCACTGTGCGCTGCCCGCCGCTGTCTGTATGGGGACTCTGCTCCAGCACAACAGCCGCCCCGCCGTCCTCGCCCTCTCCTGCATATACTGGTAGGTGGCATCAAAGCTTCTCAGGCGTCGCTGTCGCATGGTCCTTCGCGACGAGGTTTCAGCGTCGCCTCTGCAGCCACTGCGCACGTGCAGCCGCCGCTCTCCCCCTGGCTATGGCTCCGCGCCTGCCCGGCCACCAGGTAAGCCGAGGGGGCGCCGGCGCCACTGCCCTTATAACGAACACGGATGGACAACCGACACCAGAGCTTCGGGCTTGGGCTGCGGCGGTGCCTTGTTGGGGGTACCCGTTTCTGCTGCCCGCCGCAGGGACCCCCGCCCCCGCCACGGCTCCCTCTTTGCGGCCCTTCTTCCGCCCACCCGGGCCACCCCTCGGCGACATGGGCGCTGCCTTGCAAGGCGAGCCGGGAGCCACACACATGGCTCATGGTCCTGGAGTCCGAGAGCCCTCGACCTCCGATGCTGCAGGAGCCACGACCAGGGCACCTTCAAGCGTCAAGCATATTGAAGAGTTTACCAATTTACGGTACGTGTTTCCCCAAGTGCACTCAACCCGCTCCCAGGGCTCAGAGCGCAAGCCTACGAAGGGCATCAAGTGGGCGCTGTCCGGGATCACCAGCAACTGGTACTCCACCTCTTGGATGCCGGCCTCGCATGCAGAGCACAGCAGTGGCTCGGCGCTGTGCCGGTTATGTGCGGCGAAGTGGCGTGGGCGATTGCAAGTGGCCACTCGATACGGCAGACCTGAAAAGCCAATGTCCGTTCGAGTCGCCAATGGCCCTCCCCCGAGACTCGGATCCTGGCTTTCTTCCAGGACGCCAGAGCTTCAGCTCCCTGGGAGTGGAATCCCAAACAAGGGACACGCGTGCTCATGAGGTGTCAGCTATACTTGAACCTTGAATTCTCGCAATCAGGATGCTCGCGGAACATGTCCAATGTGGCTGTCTGGCTGTGTAGTAATCTGTTCGGATACCGCACGTCTTTGCTATGCGGCGCAAGCAAAGCACAGGCCTCCGGGGCACGGGGCTTTTCAAGAAGGACGGGAACTTCTTTGCAAGCCTTCCAAGGGGACCACCTGAACACAGGGAACGACTTTGAGTTTCTTTCACCGCTCACGTTCTTCACCGGCGCCTGAAGCCGTCCCCAACGCGAACGGAGGCCTTCACCACATCAGACGTCTTGCACAAGACAAACTATTACTACATGGCGCCGGCGCCTGCACCTGCTCGCAACTGGAGGCCTGCAAAAGCAGCTTGCTGTTGCTGTTGCCCATACTGTTGCTGCTGTTGCTGTTGCTGTTGTTGCTATTGAATTGGTGCTACAGTGTTGCCACTGTTGTCGTCGTTGTGGTTCCAGTTGTGGCTATGGATGTGATTGTAATTGTGGTTGTTGTTGCTGCTGTTGTGGCTGTTGCCGCTGCTGTTGCCGCTGCTGTTGTTGTTGTTGCTGCTACAATGGTTGTGGTTGCGGTGGTGGTTTCGGTGGTTGTGGTTGTGGTGATGGTCGTTGTTGGGCGGCGCCTACCGTGTTTTCGGGCATGAAGACAGCTCAAAGATCCAACTTTTCGGAATATCAGGGTACACTGAACTTCGAGATACGATTGCGAAAGACCCACTCAGTGCGAATGCACCACTGTTGATGTGAGTGGCTCGATCACCATGTAAAAATGCAAACCCGGCTAAGTGATTTCATCGGTATTTACAGTGCTTCTTGTCCTCCATGTGCCGAATAGCACCAAGGATGCTTTCTCTGGCCTTTCCGGTGAAGTCATGGTTTCAATTGCGGCCAACACGCCGTGACTAGGCCCTTCCGCTGAAATCATGGATTCAAGTTGAACCCAAAAAGGATTATTCCGGTCAACTCGTGGTTTCATATTGGGCCCAAGAACGCCTTTCAAATTGGGCTGCCGGAAGCCTTTCGGTTCAAATTCGGCGAAGGCGGTCAAAGGTTCCTATACGGATTCCCTCTATTCCCCACCTCTTAATCCCTCTCCCCCCCATAAAAAGTTTCAGTACCAATACCGTACAATACTTTGTACACCACTTGACAGTGACAGCAAAGATCACCAGGCAATCAGAGCCCTTGCAATGCGGATCCTCTCGGTCTCAATCTTTTCACTGCACTTTGGTCAATGGACACGTTGTTTGCCAATCTGTGCGGAGGATCAGTACCGTCCTTGTCCTGCCTCAATTCATGGACCTCGTATCCAATCAACTGGCACGCCGAAAATATATGCCTGATACCGAGCAGGCAATGCCTCGTGGTATGGGGATGTGTCGGGCGAGACACCATCGGCAATTTGCGGCTCCGAGCAATGCGAGCTTCTGTGCTGGCTAAGCAATACACCACATCGCAGATCAATCCAAAAAGAAATGGCAATGGCGTAGTGCGCCCAGCCTTCGTTATGCCAATTCTGGAAGCCGCTCAACGGCGGTTGTTTTGCAATCGGGCGGTACAAGCTCGGCTCGAATGCAATGGCATTGCAAGGACTGCAAAGGAGTCCGACCAATGGCTTTCCATATGGCCTTGCGCGAGCCAATGCATAAGTTTACAATCGCGCCGTGCAACCCCGTAAAGAAGTTCAATTGGTTGCACGGGAAGTGGCGCAACACCGTTTCGGCAATGCCGTGGTAATTCTGCGCGTTCATCCACGTTTCAGCAATCAATAGCAAGTGGGGGCGCCATGAAGAAATATGCTGGCAGTTGTTGTGTCTCAACCAATTCAACAATCTCGACGACCACTCGTAAGGGGAAAACCAATCAGCTTAGCTTCCGTCAATCGGTCCCGAACAAGTGGATACAATGGCCCATTGATGCCGTCGGCAGGTGCCGGAAGCAATGCGTCAAAGAGGCCGAAAGTCCACAATGGAAGCACTTCCTTCGCAGCAGGTCCACTCAACACTAGATGCAGCTTAAGTGCAATCTCGATAAATGTCAATGTTGGCGCATTTGGTCCCAAGCAACCTCTCGAAGTTCGATCAAATCGTCGGGTGTCTCCCGTACGCCAATGCAACTGTGGCGTGCTGACCCGGGATCGGAAGACTAACCAATCTGTGTCCCAGTTCTGCCCTCCAGATTGCATTGCTCTGAAGAGCATGCTCAATGTCCCAGAACCTTTTCGCAATGCATGCCATATACAATGTCACGACCAAGGTTGCCAATCTGGTACTCAATCCAGCCTATTGGGGGGGGACTGAGCTGTTCAGCCCGTGTTGGCAATCGCTCCATGTACCTCAATTTGGCAGGAATGCCCGGAACAATGCCCTCTTGATCGTTGAGAACACAAGTCTGCGTGCAATTTTGTCTGCGATCAGGCCAGAAAAGGCGGCCATTGTTTGAAGTGTCAATGATCTGGGCAGCTTCCAATGCTCCGGCGAGAGACAATACTATTCCGTCGCAAATCTCAGTGAGATGCTCAATGTCCCTTCCAGACCATGCCTCCGGCATGAACAATGTCTCTCTGATAGGACCAATCGTCCTACCACTCCTGAGAACAATGAGTCGCTGGTCTTGTCCAATGTTCCGATGTGGAGTCAAAGAATGCCGGGCCGACAACGATGGTGATAGCCAGAGGGTTAAACAATAGAGGTGTTCTGTCCGCATGGTTCATCAATTCGTCTTCCCGTCGAATTTCGTAAGCAGACCAGCACAGATGCTCGCCAAACGGGGAAGCGAATGCCATCGATGTGCGGGGACAATCTACAATCGGATTGCAACAAGAAGACAGCACAATGCAATGCCGAATCGTGCTGTCAAGCTGCAACGCAGGGACTCAAGGCTCACAGAATTCTGCGCAATTGCAGAAGGTTTGGGTTGTACCATGCAGTCGAAGAAACGGGGCGAACACTACCGCCGAACACTGCATGAAATCAGTTTTGGAAAACAATGGAAAACCCAGCAATTTGGTGAAAAATGACACGCAATTTCAAATGGCCAAAGAAAATGTGCGAAGTCGAGCAATCGACTTGTTAGATCGAGCACGCAATCAGACATGTACAACACTTGCAATCACTCATGTACTGCAATGCTGCACAAGCACAATGCTGACTGACACGATTGGAGAACATGTTGCAATGCAATCAGCATACAAGCTTTCCACTCAAATTCTCTCAACAATCGCTTCTCGGTTCCTCAAACACAACCGAGGCAGTTGGAGAACTAAAGCCGACACCGAAATGAAACACTCTTTCTGGGTTTAAGGGGCGGAAGCGGACGGGTGAAACAATGTCAGTAATACCCGAAAAACCATTGCGGATCAACCCAATCTTGCCAATCAGGTTGCCCAATACTTCAGTAGAGTTGTACTTCGTCAATGATTACATCACCAGAAGTATGAATCTTGCGCAATGCAAGCAATCCAGCAGAAATCAAATTCGGCAGGTAGAAGTATCGCAATTCCACATGCTTCGTGCGCTACCCTGCGCCGAAGTGCTTAGACATGCTCTACCCCGCAGTCGAGCCCGTATGCGTGACAATGTTCACCTTGCGAGCGAACTCCGCTTCTAGGAGATAATGTCTTCACGAATCATGCCTCGTTGATGCCTTGACCAATCGCAACTGAACAATGCAACAGTCGCTCGAGCGTGGGAAGTGTGAATGACCGAACTTTCCAAGACCTGAACAATGCATCCGCTTGCGCTGCGGCGAGTCTTGTGACAACCAGCCCAGCCACTGCCAGAATAACAAGTGACACCGATAGCACAATGCCAATCCTCTAGCATTTGCATAGGACGCAATCTCAGAACAGTGGCACGAGCGCCAGAAGTATAGCGTAACAGGCGCTTCAGTGCTTCAATCGAGACAAACTTTCCTGAGTCGGTCCCTTGACGTCACGGGAAAGTTCCTTCACAGCGAATGAGTATCCGGGCCACAGCAATTTGCGAACCGAAATACGACACCTGGCATGTTCGGTTGAGTCCAATGCTTGGTGTGAGGCTGCACCAGTAGTACTCACAGAATTGCAAAGCTCCTTGTTCAAAGCCTCAATGAAATCCGTGGCCCTTTGAGAATCACCAGCCATCAGCAAATCATCCACATAGGCCAATAAATACAACTGTCGGCTAGAATGACAACACAGGTTAGGGTCCGATTTGCAACGACGGAAACTCAACGAACTCGTGACAGAAGCATAGTGCTCTTGCGGCAATCTCGGACTTGTTTGAGTCCGTACATCACCCTGTTCAGACGCCACAAACAAGGGGGTCTACCATCGGGCCCGGGTCCGTTGAGATAGTACTCAAGGAAGACGCACAAAGGCTTAAGTCTGCTTCGTAAGAACCTCGCTTGAGGGAGCACCTAGACCTACATCAAAGCTACCAGGACTCCTTGGCCCTGCATCCACCTGCTGGTGGGAACTACCTGTAACTACCTCCCACCTGTTGC